GTGCGTGACGACCCCGCGCCTCACAACACTCCAGTGTCGCCGCGGCTGAGCTGTGCGCCCCCCTTCCCGTCCTCCCCGTCCATTCTCGGGCTCTTCCCCCATTTACCTCTGGCCTCTTGCCCACCTGGCCCTGGTTCCCGAAGCTCTGTGACCCCTTCGCACTTTTGTCTCCTGCTCACCCGGCCCCGTCGGTGCCACCAACCCAACCCTCTCTGATAGTTGCCCCTCTTCTCCGCCCCCTACAGACCCTCATGTTCTCAGAACCAGGCGACAGCGTCCTCTTCATACTCTTTTTAAACTACAATTACTGCCGGGCAGTGCTCAGACTAAGCACGCTGTGTGTTTTTCTTAGCTGACCTGAGCCGACTTACATGGCGAGACTTTTCCTCCTGGTCTCCCCAGCACGTGGCTCTCCTTACCCCCACCCCTGGTTCAGGGGAGCAGAGGGAGAGTCCAGAATTTCCAATTATTTCCCTAAGGGAAGGGAGTTGTCTCGCTGCCCCTCATGTGATGGTGCCTCAGCCATCAGGTCGCTGTCCTGGTTTTTCTTAGCTGACCTGAGCCGACTTACATGGCGAGACTTTTCCTCCTGGTCTCCCCAGCACGTGGCTCTCCTTACCCCCACCCCTGGTTCAGGGGAGCAGAGGGAGAGTCCAGAATTTCCAATTATTTCCCTAAGGGAAGGGAGTTGTCTCGCTGCCCCTCATGTGATGGTGCCTCAGCCATCAGGTCGCTGTCGGAGTTTCCGCTCGGTTCCGTGGACTGATTTGTTATCTCAGCCCTAAAGCTGAGGTTTACTAGTTCGCTGATGGGGGTGAGATCTTGGTGACCGAGTTCTCCTGCATTCAGGCCTTCGGGAGTCCAGGGAAGTCAAGGGCGAGGTATTAAATCCGACAACAAAAGGTAGAACTGCCAAGAGGGCTGCGTCACTCAGGGCAACCAGTGAGTGCTTTTGTTTTTGTTTTAAAATTCTTAGTAGAGTCCCATTGAAATCAGAAGGTTGTTCAGTGAATATAAAGTCAGAGAACATCAGCACAAAGAGTTAGAAGGCCTTATTTATTATTTTTTAATTTTTTAAATATGTTTTTTATTGATTTCGGAGAGAGGAGAGAAACATCCATAATGAGAATCATCCATCGGCTGCTTCCTGCACGCCCCCTGTTGGCGATCGCCCGCCACCCAGGCGTGTGCCCCGACTGGGAATCCAACGTGACCTCCTGGTTCCTAGGTCCATCCTCAGCCCCTGAGCCACACTGGCCAGGCTGGAAGGTCTTAAAGGAGATGTCTTTCAAGCCATCGCTGGCTAATGCATTTCTGTTTTCCCCCACTCAAGAGACCCTTATCATTTGCATATTTTCGCACACACATTAAAGGAAATCAAGAAACAACCTCTTTACATAATCTATCATCCCCTTTCTTTTTCTCTGCTTTGAAACAGTGGGCACTGTCCCAGAAACTTGGAAAGCACAGTGGTTTGATCTTCAGCCCAGCAGAGCAGAGGTCAGTGACAGAAATACCAGCCCGCTCACAGGGCCAGCACTGGGCTCAGGGAGGTGCATACCTGCAATCCTGCGAAGGCCCATGTGGAAAATGTGGACTCCCAGGCCATGCTGACTGAATCGGAATTTCATAATTTGGTGCCTGGAATCTTCATTGTTAAGTCCAAGATGATTTTTCATCCACAGAGGTGAAGGGTAAGGAATGAGTAAGTGAAGAAAAGGGGAAGAAAGAGGGTGGGGGGAAGCAGTAAGCCCATCTCCCTTTTCTGTTCTTTCCCTTTCACTTTCCTATACTATCCTTTGCCCCGTGTCTTCTTCCTGCCTCCTCTAGCCTAGACCTTGCCCATTCCCAAATCGTACTTTAAGTTCCAGGCTATCCCCTTTCTCCCAGCCCCAAACCACATTCCACTATTTTCACCAAAGGGGATGTCTAAAGAAATAGTTGTGACCCCTCTCTCTTCTTAAAATATTTGTCACTGGAAAATTTCAAACACAGACACAAATAGGGGAAATAGCATAATAAATCCTCATGTACCCTTCACTCAGCTTCTACTGTCAACTCAATTCTCAATCTTATTTCATTTATACCTCTACCCACTTTCCCCAACATATTATTTTGATGCAGATTCTAGACTGGATATCATTTGGTCCATAAATATTTCAGTATGTAGCTCTAAAAGATAAGGGATTATTTTTTAATCAATAAACTTTATTTTTAGAGCATTTTTAGGTTCATAGCAAAATGGAGTGGAAAGTACAGAGAGTTCCATATACTACACACACACACACACACACACACACACACACACACACAGCCTTCTGCACTATCAACATCTCACACCAGAGTGATATACTTGTTATAAATCCATGAACCTACATTGACACATTATAACCCAAAGCCCCTGGTTTACCTTAGGGGTCACACTTGGTGTTATACATTCTATAGATTTGACAAATGTATGATGACATGTATCCACCATTATAGTATTATACCAGAGTAGTTTCACTGCTCTAAAAATCCTTTGTACTCTGCCTTTTTATCCCTCCCTCTCCCCTGACTTCTAACAACCACAGATCTTTTTATTGTCTCCATAGTTTTGCCTTTTTCAGAATGTCATATAGTTGGAATCATACAATGTGTAACCTTTTGAGATTGGCTCTTTTTGCTTAGTAATATGCATTTAAGTTTCCTCCACGTCTGCTCATGGCTTGATAGCTCATTTCTTTTTAGTACTAAATTATTCCACCTTGTGAATTGGGTTCCTTTTCCCATCTTTCTGGACCAGACTGAGAGGGTGTTAGATAGTTTGTGGGAGAAGGGAAATAACTAGATCTGGGTCTGCCTGCAGGAGTCTATAGGCAAGGATGTAACTAGCAGAGGTCAGCCCCTCTATCCAGGCTTCCGACATTCAGAGTGACTTCAGGACACCCAGAGATGAAGCCAGCTCTTCCACAGTGGGTGGCACCTCTGTGTGCTCTGGAGAGGAAGCTGGGAACTTTCCCACTGTCATAGGCCACTTGGAGGGAAGAAGGGTAGTGGGGAGGCTCTCAGTGATTACCTGCTCTTTCCACTGAAAGTAATCAAAGCGGCTATGCATATACCTTGGGGAAAATAGGGCGGGGAGAAAGGAGCATCCAGTAAGTATCAGGCAGAGTTAGCTGAATGATTGAAAGGCTGCCAGGTCCATGGGTGGGATCATGAGACCCCCCAATTGCCTCACTTCACTGCCACTTCATTCACCCCCAGCCCTGAGTTGGAAACACAGCTCCTGGGGTATCTTGGGATGTTCCAGTCTGCTCTAGGGAGATCTGTCAGTGCCCTCTTCCCCAAGGCTTGCCCTTAGGCCTAATAAAATATTTTGCATGTGTGAAATGCTTTAAAGTTTTATAAAGTATCTTCCCCACATTCTCTCATTTAAAAAAAAAATAGACTATTTCTGCCCTGGCTGGTGTGGCTCAGAAGGTTGAGTGTTGTTCCATGCACCGACAAGTTGCCAGTTCCATTCCCAGTCAGGGCACATACCCAGGTTTCGGGTTCCATTCCTGATTGGGGTGTGTACAGGAAGCAGTAGATCCATTTTCTCACATTGATGTTTCTCTCTCTCTCTCTCTCTCTTTCTCTCTCTCTCTAAAATCAATAAAAACATCTTTTAAAAAATAGACTATTTCTTAGAGCAGTTTCAGGTTCACAGCAAAATTGAGCTGATATTCCCTCATTTAAAATTTTGATTCTCACATCTACCCTACAAATAGGTAAGTGGCTATTATTATC